AAGCTTGATACACAGTTCTTGCATTTTTTAAATGAACAGTAGCCCAAGAGTGGTATTAAAAATACAGTGGTACAAGAAGCCATCACATTCAACCTGGATAGAAACAATGTTGTATACGATGTTCAAATAAATGATTTACTTCCATTATAGACATCTGATCAGTTTTGATCCAATAGACTGTCAAATAATTTATTTGACTTGATTTATTTAAATAATTTCAGAACTCCTTGCCAGTAGCAAACAGTCAAATAGCTGATGATGTGAAAGAGAAGCTATGCTGCTCTTCAATGTAAACATTATATTTGACAATATCAAAGCTGCTGTTTTAAACTGTTCCCTATAGAGTTATACTTTTTCCCCAAACAAATATAGTGTCAGCACCAAATCAAGCGTTTGTGCAATATTAATGAGCATCCAGGTTAAAAAGGATGTAGAAGAAGAGATCCATTGTTAAAGTTTCTATTTCCTCTTATTAAAATACTACTTAACACCCTTCCTTTCTTAAAATCCTAGGTACATGCTGGATTTGATACAGATTTGATACTTAAAGTCAGTAGATGATCTTTGACTTAATAAGGATGGACAGAAGTAAACAGATGTACAGCTAAATTATGGCTGTCTTAACACAGGTGCATTGTGGGGAGTAGGAAGATGCAGAGTATCTTCTCCCTCCAAGCATGTCACCCAGGAGGCAGTTGTAATTTGGCTGCTTGCATTTGAGAGGCCTCAGTCATCCCTGCACCTCTTCCCTAGCCCCTAGTGTGGCTTAGGCTCTATGCAATAGGGGCAATTCAAGGACAGGGTTTTTACATGTATTTATATAGAACACTTAATCTAAATTCCATGGCATTCTACACATGGCAAAACTTTGAAGATTTCACTGTATTATTTAATTTTGGAACTTAGGATCAACTGTACTAAACCCTCAAAGGAATCTGTATTTGTTTTTGAAAGATATATTCTTGGGTTTTAAGATCTACAAGATTCTTTGTTTTAATTGTCAACAAAAAAGTTTACATTTTCAGCATGCAGTAATTCATTAACTACTCAAGGTTTCTTTGCAGTTTTGGATACAATGGACCATCTCATGTGCCTGATCTGCCCGCTGATAACAATGGGAGTTTGCATACTGATCACAGGCATGATATGGCCCAATATCTCTGTCTTACAAGGTTGTTTTCAAAACTGCTAGTCACAGCACCCAACAAACTCTTTCTTGAAACTGCATGCTGACATATTTGGTGCATCTCCAAAGACACAGAATCAGATCAGGTCTGGCCTGCAACTCAACATTTTATTAGTGCTTTTTACACACACACACTCACTTTTCCTGGTTCTTTTTTGTGATCACCACCTGATATTTGTATTGCTATTATAAAGTTCAGCCAAAACAACAAGGGGCCATAAACTTTGAAAACACATGCCTGTAGTTATCCTTTATGGGCCACATTCTGCAAAGAAGTAAATGGTGTGTAAGTTAAAAAGTGGTTGTAACTATCACAAAAGGTGTGTTAGTGGTACAGTGGTGTTACCTCCTCCCACTTGGCATACAGTGGGTGTGCAAAACACTTCTGACTTACACACCAAGGAGACAAGTAGAAGTTAAGTAGCAACTAACAGGAAGTGTAAAATAAGGTAGGGTCCCCTTACTGCACCCACCTAGTCAGAGTAAGATGTTACATGACCTTTTATTGGACCAACTTCTGTTGGTAAAAGAGACAGGCTCATCCTCAGCTATGTGTAGCTGGAAAGCTTGTCTCTTTTACCAACAGAAGTTGGTCCAATAAAAGATATTACCTCACCCCCCTTGCCTCTCTAATATCCTGGGACCAACATGGTTATAACACTACAAACAATTATCTTACACTCTCCTGTTAGTGGTTTTCCTGCTGTTTCTCTCTATCCACTCAGTGTATAACAAATGCACTTTGCACATCCACTGAATCCTAGATCAGTGCAAGTTACATTACTTGACCACTCGCTCTTAGTTTTTGACCAAATTACCACCCATCATTATGAGACTTTCATAAGGGTTGGACCCTCTTACACCTGAGGCTAGATTCTGGGATGATTTACAGTGGTGTACATTCAGATTAACCCTTGCCATCATTGAGTTACTTCAGATTTACATTGGTGTTACTCAAATCAGAATCCAGCCATAGTTTGTATTTTGGTGTATTTGTTCTTATAACTGCTCTGGGAAGTGGGAGGGGCTTCCTTGTACATTATCAACTTCCTATTTTGTATATCTCTGCAGGAGCTGGGTACAATCTGGCTGTTAACTGTTAGAAACTGTTGCTTAAGATTAACAGTGGGAGCTGCTGGTTAATGACCATTTTTGCAAAGCTGGCCAGTGACTTTTACAGGACACTTTTATATTACTACCTTCCTCTGCCTTCTTCATTGCATATGTTAACACGACAGCCTACTTCTACTCCGACAATGCATAAACAAGGAAATAAGTAGAACAGTGTTAACTCCAACTCCATGTGAAACAGAAAAGAGAAAAAATTCATTGTTTGTTAAATGAAAAAAGTTAGAATCAGTGGGAAGAGAAATTAGTTTGTAAACAGCTAAGAGATTTCCAAACTTGGGAGTACACTAAAACCAAAACTACAGTGTGCAAAAAAATAGCTGGTAGGGCCAGCTTATAGCATATGTATTAAAGGTATATGCCTAGGGTCCCAGCTTCTGGAGTCACATGATGAAATTAGACAACTTCTCCCTCCTCCTTCCTGCCCTCCCTTTGCCCCCAAGTATGTTTCTAGCCCTCATGCTAACAAAGATAACCTCTGACAACCTGATCAGAGTGTATCCAATACAATGATAGGCCTCCACAGCCTGCCAATAGCTCTTGCATGGGTGGCCCTTCAGCTACCTACAAGCAGAGATGAGGCCATGGGGCCACAGCACAGGGGCTCCCAGCTGGGATAAGCCTATGGCTCTGCGTTGCCTTAATGCACTACGGTAACTGGTCTTTTCATGTCCTATGTAAACTAATACAAACTACAGTATAAGAATGGCCATACTGGGTCAGACCCAAAGGTCCATCTACCCCAGTGTCCGGTCTTCCAACAGTGGCCAATGCCAGGTGCCCCAGAGGGAACAAACAGAACAGGTAATCATCCAGAGCTCCATCCCCTGTTGCCCATTCCCAGTTTCTGGCAAACGGAGGCTAGGGACACCATCAGTGCTTCAATTAACTGAAAGGGAACTATTTATGTGCATAAAGCTAAGCATGTATGCAAGTGTTTGCAGAACTGAGGCCTATATTATCTGTGTTCTTGTTTTCTAGCATTAGCATAAACACATATTTAGCAAGACGTTATATGAAAAACTTTTAGTTGTGCAAAAAGAATCATTTTTCTCTCTAATCAAAGAGAAAATGACTAGTTAAACATTTTATATCCATTCCTTCAAAAAAAAATAGTCTCTAGTAAGAGGAGGAACATTAGAAAGACACCATTATGTCTGTATTCCTGAGAATCCCCGACAAGTCATGAAACAAAAAAGTTAGTCTTTAGTTCACAGAAATTGTTAGCATAAAAAGACAAAGCACTGGGCAACAGTATCCGAGGGTGAAATTCTGCTTTCAGATTAATGTGTGTAGCACCCATTGATTTCAGTGAGAGAGCTCAGTAAGTGCATGTTTGAGGGCACAATTTGGTTGCACTGGAAAATTGTTGATAAAAGCTAGTTGACAGTGTAGCTAATATTCATGTGGCGAGCTCAACCACTTCAGATCTCATGGGCAAGTTAAAGTAATTCAGAATATCCTCCTGCTCTCCAAAATACCAGTCATTGTCACACATGGTGGGAACATACTCACCAGAGTGTAGGTCTCTGACTTCAGGGTAGAGTCAGTCACAGAGCTACCTGGTCATCAAATGTATCCCGAGATGCTGACAGTTAATGTCTCCCCACTGATAGTGGTTTTTCCATGTATTCATCATAAGCCTTTGCTTTCACATACTCATTTCATCATGTTGCAGCATTTTACATTTTTGGACACTAAAGTATCTTTGACAGTTTTGCAACTCAGAGTTTTGGAATTCCTGAAGCTGAAGTCTTATTCATGAAGATCTGATCAGCAGTGGATTTGGAGGTTATTGGCGTGGGTGAAATGTTGGCTCTGTTCAAGTCAGTGGCAAAACTCCCATTGACCTCAGCGGGGCTAGGAATTCAGCCCTGATTTCTAAAAGTCCTGAGTAGCTGCATATTCTGTTCAGTTCAATGGGCAGCATGGCTGCTTAGCCATTTGACAATCAGGTCATAATTGACTTGTCAGAGTCCACAGAGGCAGACGTGGCAGAGCCAGGATTAGAACTCAGAAATTTCTAGCTTCTAGTCCAGTGCTCACGCCATGCAACCTCTGTTATCTTTAATCTAATTATTGCCACATTGGAATACATCATCAGAAATGGTGTTATGAACACGTGGGAAACATCTTGCCTTCCACAACATCAGTGCTTTTTCATTTGTAGTCTCAAAATGCTTTGCAAAGGTGGGTAAGCATTATTATACCCATTTTACAGAGAGGACTTAGATGAGACTTGTTTAAGTGACTTGTCCAAAGTAAGATCCAAGAATAGAACCCAGGTGTCCTGGATCCAAGACCCTGATTTAGCAAAGCACATAGGCAAGTGCTTAACTTTAAGCACATGTATAAATCCTGTTGATGTCAATGGGAGTTAAGCATGTGCGTAAGCTCTTTGCTGAATAGGGACAGGCTTAAGTACGTTTCAATGCTCTGCTGGATTGGGACATTAGAGAGTAGGCATTTTTCCTTTCTTATATAGAGTGTGAATGTTCCCAAGGGTTGGCAGGTAACCATTGTTTACAGCTATTCCACTTCTTTTCACATTACTCAGCAGATCTCAGAGAGAGAGGAAATATTTGTAAAACTAATTAAAGATTGTGTGAAAGATATACATATGTTTGGTGGCCTTTTATAAACCCAAATGTTTATGCATATGTTTCTTTTCTGTTTTTTTCTTAAGATGACATCAGTTGCACGACAAGAAGTTCTTGGCCTTTACCGCAGGATATTTAGAATAGCCAAAAAATGGCAGTCTGCATCAGGACAGATGGAAGACACTATTAAAGAGAAACAGTACATTATAAATGAAGCCAAAACCTTATTCCAAAAAAACAAAGATGTAAGTGCATCTCTGTCTGGCTTTCAGAGTTAGTCTGTGATTCATTCTTTGCACCCTGTTTTGTTTCAATGGTTGGAAAAATGTTTACAAGAGAGTTGAGTTCCCAAAATGGTCTCCAGTTTGGAAATTTATAGAAATGTAGGGCTGGAAGGACTGTTGCAGATTCAGGGTTAACTGCACCTTTTGACCCCTGACCTGGTCCTCCTTAAGGACACCCACCTAAGCTCCCAGCAGTCACCTGTCAGGCAAAGAGACCATATAAAAACCTAGTTCCTATACACATGCTAAAAGCTTACCAGAGCTCACCCATCAGTCTTATGGGGTCCTGGTAAGTCAGTCAATCCTTCCAACCCTTCTGTAAGGGCTGGGAACCCCCCTTGACACAGGGTCCTGTCCACTTACTGAATCAAAAGGTCCAGTGTCCGTTTATACTCAGGCTTTTTATACAAAAAGGCCTTTGTCTGCTGGTCTCTGAAAACCCCGTCTGAACCAGTAAGTGCAAGCCTCCCCAAGGGTGGTACCTCTGGAGATATTTACAGCCTGAGTGATGCACCTTAATCCCCCCACCCCCATTTTTATTTCTTGGAGGAGCTGTGGTAACCTTCCCCCCAACAACTTAATACAATATGTTCCCTTCGATATTGCATGCAGTGGCAATATCCATCACAAGGGCCTTGAGAGGTCATCGAGTCGAGCCCCCAGCAGGAGTTGATGCACACCTAGACCATCCCTGTCAGGTGTTTGTCTAACCTGTTCTTCTATCAAGATGAAACATACCCAGTTTTTTTTTAAACCTTTCCTTGTAGATGAGGTTTTTCTAAACCTTTTAACTTTTTTGTAGCTCTCCTCTGCACTCTCCAGTTTGTCCACATCTTTCCTAAACTGTGGTACCCTAAACTCAACACAGTTCTCCATCGGAGGCCACACGAGTGCCAAGCAGAACAGTTACCTCCTATGTCTTACATATGGCACTCCAGTTAATACAACCAGAATGATATTAGCCTTTTTTGCACTGTTGGCTTATATACAATTTGTGATCTTCTATAACCCCCAGATCCTCTTTTGCAGTACTGCTGCTTAGCCAGTATTCTCCGTTTTGTAGCTGTGCATTTGATTTTGCCTTCCTAAGTGGAGTACTTTGCACTCGTCTTTGTTGAATTTCATCATGCAAGATCTAATTCAAACCTCCCCAAAGAAGAAATCTTGAATCCTTCTAGTTTTCTTCATTAGTTACTTTAGGAGGTTAGAAAGGTCTAGAGACCTTTACAAGAAATTGCCAAGGAGGAGGAAAAAAGTTATCTGCAAGTATACTGCCTGTGGAATTGTTGTCTGAAGCAGCTTTGGATCTTTCCTGATGCTTTTGTCTAGCTTTCTGAACTGCTGGCAGGCAGAATTCCGTAGCGCCTTCACCTGCTGATTTTGCTGATCATACAGTAATTATTGGCACTTTCTTTAAAAGGTTTTTTTTCTATGGAAAGTGTGCACAAAGTTTTTAAGTAATACAGTATTTGGAATTTAAAACCTCTCCTTCCTTGTACAGAGAGCACAAACATGTGGACTTCAATGATTAGAACTGATGCTTTTTCGCCTTCATCATATTAGAGTCCCATTGTTATATGGGAATTGATACCACTTGCATTCACTTTCTAGATCTTGTTTAGGACTATATTTTACCACTGAACTTTTTACACAACACCTTTATTGGCTTCAGAAGGAGTTGTACGCATGGAATGATGGCAGGCCATGGCCCTAAATGTTTTATATTTTTCTCCAGCTCCTATATAGATATATGTAAATGGCTCAATTTATTTTTGACCACTAGTGTTCTTTCCATAAGTGTATTGATGTACACGTGCATCTTCTTTTTACAGATGATACTTATTAACATGTTAGAGTAAAAATCTCCTCAGACCCTCACAGTAAATCTAAGCTCTGATATCCTGCTCCTCCTTGAGGCCCCTAGCTGTCAGCCGTATGAGTCAAGAACTGCTGGATGGATCTGAGGGGAATTTTACCTTTAATGACTTCTCTGGACATAAAGATAAGTAAATGCATGCACAGGCTTTCCCAAAGTGTTGGGATTGTCCCATGATCTCTGGGACTAGTATGACATGGCAATGAACTGGAGAATCATTCTAGCTATATTTCTAGGGACAAGGAAATCAATGTCCTACTTTTAAAAATAAAAACAAAACAAACCAAAAAAGTAAATCATGTAGATGTGCATGATTCTAAATCACAAGTACTAATTTCTACACTTTCCCTTTTTACATTTATTTGTTTGATTAGCTAACAGATCCAGAGCTGATTAAACAGTGTATAGAAGAATGCAAGGCAAGAGTAGAAATCGGACTTCACTATCACATTCCCTACCCAAGACCTGTGAGTGTGAATCCAGACAACGTCTACAACAGTGTGTATTTAGTCCCTTATTCAGCAAGCAGTGGATATTTTAGTTAAGGCAGTTTTGACTTCTGGATGAGTGTTCATAAACTGGTAATGACAACAAATCTAGTGTATGCAGTGTAGTTGTAGCCATGTCGGTCCCAGGACATTAGAGAGAAGGTGGGTGAGGTAATATCTTTTATTGGAACCATGGAGGGCTCATCTACATATCTGGGAAAGGTACTTTGAGTGTCACCACTAAATACAAGGAAAAGACAAGCCTGGGAGGTTACATTCATAACTCTGCTAGACACTAAAAATCATGGACTGAATAGAGACACTGCATTTATGGCTTATTACAACAATCAGTAACCCACTAACTTCCTTTTGTCTTATGAATGCAGAGGTGTTAACAGGCCATTCTGCCTTGAATGGTCCCTTAGAATGTGCGCTAAATAATCTGTGCCACCTTGTGACCCTCATTGTTTCCCAGACCAGTGGAAGAGCTGTGTGTGGTTCCAAAGCTTGTCTCTCTCACCAACAGAAGTTGGTCCAGTCAAAGATATTACCTCACCCATCTTGTCTGTCTAACAAATCTAGTGGTTAAAAATCTTTCCAGATGAAAGATTAGAAATAGTTGGCCTGTCAACTTTTGAGCAAATGCGTAAATATCATAGGGTTGTTTTTGGGTTTTTTTTGGTAGCCTACACTGAATCCTGGTTATATTAGATCAAGTCTGGTTGTTGGGAGGCAGGGCTGGTGTATCTGTGGGTCCTTTTCCACCCCTCCTCCTGCTGTTCTGGAAATCATACATTAATGGAAGTGACTTGTTTAAACGTTGAGGTTGCTTGTTGACTTGTTTAAACAAGGAGTTGTAGCAGGGTCCTGTGTTTTGTTTCACTGTGCAATGGTGTTTCCTGTGTATCATTCATTTATTTCATCCTTTCCTTTGTCATCCAGAGAGACTTCCCCTCCATTCCAATTCATTACATTTCACCTTCATAGGTCTCTTTCCTTTCAAGAAAATCATAATCCAATTTAATAATCCCCTAATATATCCCTTTTTAGCTGAACCTGGGGAGGGCTTTGAAATTTATATTCTCTAGGGGATCAAACACCTTGCAGGATCAAGCCCTAGAAAAGCTCTGATACATATAGATTAGAGGATCTTTAGAGAGTGTATAAATTTTAAGAATATTGCTGCTTCACTAAGTGATTTTACTAATATTTTCATTTTAATAGCTATCTTTAAGTCTTTCATCCTCAGACAGGAACGTTTGGCTATTTACACCTACCTCTTTCAATCATTGTGGGGGCAGGGGATTAGCTATATGGTTCCCACTAACAATTTTATATTTACCTCTGAGGTACAAAGACTTTCAAAACTAAAAGACTGTCACCCATTTCTCTGTTTGTAGACTCAGTGACTAATTGGGCTTTTCATATGGTGTATATTATCACTATAAACCCGAATCAGCAATAAGGTAGTAGATGGAGTACGTACAGCTTGGGGTTGCTTTGTTGTTTGCTACGTGGTTAGTAACAAAACACAACCACTTAACCACCTTTATAATTTATGGTATATATCGTACTTCCTTCTCTATTGGTTTGTGATCCTATACTTTGGTCCCAACTCTTCTGATAAAACTGTAAATCTGGATCCTATAAAACCATTTTACTGGAATATCCTATTCAGTACTATTTCAGCAAATGATGTATCATCATTTGATGTGAAACTATAAAACACAATGCGACAAAAGGTTATAATTTAAAGGACTAGACTGGGTACCTAGCTATTGTATACATAGGGCCCTACCAAATTCTCAGCCATGAAAAATGCATCACGGACCATGAAATCTAGTCTCCCCCTGTGAAATCTGGTCTTGTGTGGGTTTTTACCCTATACTATGTAGATTTCATGGGGGAGACCAGTGCTTCTCCAATTGGGGATCCTGACCCAAAAGGGAGTTGCAGGGGGATCACAAGGTTATATTGGGGAGTCATGGTATTGCCACCCTTACTTCTGCGCTGCCTTCAGAGCTGGGTAGCCAGCAAACGGCAGCTGTTGGCTGGGCACTGAGCACCCTGCCCGCAGCAATGCATAATTAAGGGTGGCAATACCATCCCATCCCATCCTTACTTCTACGCTGCTACTGGCAGCAGCTCTGTCTTCAGAGCCGGGCAGCCAGAGAGTGGCGGCTACTGACTGAGGGTCCAACTCTGCAGGCAGCAACGCAGAAGTAAGGGTGGCAATATCATACCAGGCCATCCTTACTTCTGCGCTGCTGCTGGCGGTGGCTCTGCCTTCAGAGCTGGGCTCCCGGCCAGCAGCTGCCGCTCTCCAGCTGCCCAGCTCTGAAGGCAGCGCGGCTGCCAGCAGCAGCGCAGAAGGGTAGCAGTACCACATATCCCCCTACAATAACCTTGCGACCCCCTCAACTCCTTTTTGGGTCAGGACCCCTACAATTACAACACTGAAATTTCAGATTTAAATAGCTGAAATCATGAAATTTATTATTTTAAAAAAATCCTATGATCATGAAATTGACCAAAATGGACCATGAATTTGGTAAGGCTCTATGCATACAACAAACACATAGGGCTTGAAAGTTAAATGTAATAGTAATCAACTGGGAAATAGGCTCTGATAGAAATATAAGTAAATAACCTGGTGGTTAGGTATCTGTTCTCTCCAGCATGGGAGGAAATGGTTTCCAAGTGTGAGTGAAAACACTGCAAGAGTCCCGCTATCAGAATGTCTCCTGATCTCTGAGTGGGGTTTCAGTTTATCAGCCTGCACAAGAACGTTTAGCTTTATTTTTGTGTGTGTAGATTCATCTGCCTCCTCTGGGTCTCGCCCCACAACGTGGTCGTACATTTCGAAACCAAGAAAAGCTGAGGAAGCTTTCCAAGCCAGCCTACTTGAGATCCTACGACGAAGTTTCATAACCCACTGTCAAAGTGTGGTGCATATTATCACGAACTGCGAGGCAGACATGGCTCGTGTGTGCAACTGTGAATGAAAGTGTGTGCTTGATAGTCACTTACTCTTCCTGACTCCACAAGCCTAGCTGATTCAGTGTATGGAAACTCTTGTATTTAAGATTCAACCACTGACATCAATAAAAGTAACAGCTTTTAAGGAGTGAGATGCAACATGAAGATTAATTTGTGAAGTCAGGACAAAGCATGGCAATTCTTATATTGTATGCGGATTCATAACAGGATACAATGGAGATTCGCAGGTGGATTATAAATGCTCAGTTGGACCTTTAAAGCACTACCCTGCACCAGGGTCATCCCAGGAGAATCAGGCAGGCATAATGTCTCTTGAATACGGAGGGAGCTTGGCCACCACGCCATCCTGTGTTAGGATGCAGCATGCTCTATTTCCAGCCCCTGGCTAGGACTGGTGGATGGTGTGGAAGTAAGGCAGGGCCTGGACCTGCTCTCCCCACCCCCTCTGGAGAGACTAGTGACACAGTAGGTGCAAGCCTCATGCCATCCTTATGCTCAAGCAGCCCAGGGCTTGTGATTGCACTGGGTTGCTGCATCCGGGGTGGACAGGTGTGGAGGGGAAGAGACCTTTTGTCTTCTCCCCACCTTCCTTTTCAGAATTCACAGTAGCTGAACACAATGTGGCCCATCACCTGGTTAAATATATCCTTTTTCTGCAGTGAGTGCAGGGATGTACAATGGCTGGCGTTTACTCTTCATTATGGAAAACGTTCTAGTGTCTCTGCTTCCTGCTGAAATTAAATGGTTGCTTAGAGGGGGAAAAAACAAAATCAGTTTTCCCCAGAGCCTCGCTACAGGGGCAGAGTGAAGGTTGTTTGGGTTTTAATTTAATTGGGTATTTTCATGCTTTCAAACGTTTGAGTCTCTTCCATTTACTTTAATTCTACATTTCCTGGGCTGCTAATGCATGTTTTCCCAATCATTATTACATTCCTGCAGTTTAGTTAACTCTTAACATACAGCTGACGGTGCAGATCAGTAACTATCTTGAGAGCTTTTCATCTGGGAATTTAATTTTGGCTTGTTTTTTGACTCTTGGGAATAGTTATACCCCATGCAGGAGGGAAGGAGTTTTTCATTCCCTGGGATGCTTTCTCCTCCCCCTACCCCCTGTGTGCCTTCTTGGCTCTTCAAACTTCCGTCTTGCCAGGCTATTCAGAGGACTGAAGAGTCAGAGGTATGGAGGCAGATAAGTGGAATCCGAGGCCAGGGAACAGGGGAAAGGCAGGATTAACAGAAGGTTCAGCCCTCAAGACCTCACTTCATCCTCCCTTTGCCCAACCAAGTTCTCCTCATCAGTCTTGCATTCTCCCTGTTCTGGCTCCCCACATTATCCTTCCTCCCTCCCCCGTTCCTGAAGGGCTGCTATAGGAGCAACAGACAGGGCACCTCTCAGGATAACGAACTGGTTTGGATAGCCAGATTCCTTCCTCCTCTCTGCCTCTAGTCCATAAGGACAGTTATTCCTCAGTAATTATTAGCTGGGAAATGCCCCACAGCTGGTGCCAAGTATGTAAAAAGCCATCTGCTGCTGGGAACATGTGGGGTGAAAACCCATGACACACAGGGATGGGGGCAGAACATTACAGAAATGAATCAGAGACCAGACTCTGAAATAACATTGTGGGATGGGTTTCTGAATTTCATCCAACAAAGTCAAATTCACATCTATGAGTAGCAAAATACACTGCCCTGAAGTGCCCCTTCATGATGCAGTGGGGTGTGGCAGCAGGTCTGCCTCAAGTTCCCCTTGGTCTTCTACAACTCCACCTAGCAACCAATGCCTAACAAGCTGCTGCAGTGACTTGGTCCTATACCTAAGTCCACCCCTTTTGGAGGCAGTATTGCTCCTGTCTTCCCTCCTGATTAAAGTGCTCTTCTGCTCTCCCTGTGGGCTCAGCTTTTGCCCATCCCAGGCTCCTTTTCATATCTCCCCTCAACAGTGACCGATCAGCCAGTGGGCCGACGGGGCCCATGCCCAGGGGCCAAGGCCAATTGGGGGGCCCTGGAAAAATGGGCACTCCTATGCCCCAACCCCCAGCAGGAGCACTGGGTCAGACGGACCGCGGTATGAGTCAAGAACCCCAGTCCTGGCAGAAGCACATGGTGGTGGGGGAAGTCCCAGCACCTGGACCCCAGCTACCGCCCTGGGCCTGGAGGAGCTCTAGCTCCCTGCCATGGTCTCAGGGCTGAGGGAGCTCTCACTCCCTGCCCTGGCGGCAGGGTGGAGGGGAGACAGCTTCTCCAGACTTGGGGTTGCAGTGGGTGGGGGCAGAAAGAAGCAAATGAGTTGCAGGGTGGCAGTGGGGGGGGGCGGGGTGAAACAGAACAGAGCCGCAGGGGAATGGGCAGAATGGAGTTGGGCCACAGGCAGAAGGGGTGGGGAAGGGACCCCTCACTTGCTATGGCCCAAGGCCCCATGAAACCTTGTGCTCTCATCTCCAGTCAGCCCTTCCCTGCTGGACTTCCCTCCTCTTAGATCAACCCTGCACAGGCATAGTGAGGGCAGACTAATTAAGTGCCAGATTTTGGCACTTAAAGGGGTAGAACACTCTGTTACAAGGGAGAAAACAAATATGTAAAACAGTCGTTATGTGGAACAAAGTAATACTGATGAAAATCCAACTCATTTGACTGAAAGTCCCGTAACTCAAACTGAATGATGATCATGAAGTCATTCAGATGTGTTTTAAGATGATAAATGGTTATGAATTTGGGTGTTTCCTTTCCAAACACCTGTGACATCTAGTGAAAGCTAAATCCCCTCTCACAGTCAGCACTGTGGCTGGTGTCAGCCTGACCCACATGGCATCACGCTGGTTGGGCAGTGAAACTAGCAAACTTCAGTCCGATTGGGAAATTCTAGAATTTCCTTACTGTGGTTTTCTCCCTTGTGTAGAGGCAGGCTCCCTATAGCCTCAGGTTTTTAGCTCTTACCACTTCACTCTGGTCTCAACAGTATCTACCAAGGTCTGATCCAATTCCCATTACAGTAGCTGGATTATACTCTTGAACAGCAACAGCTAGATCCATACCTGACACAACTCCTTCAAAGGCAGCATAAATAGATTTACACCAGGGATAAATTGGTCTCAAGTCTCCAGGTTTGTAGTTTTTCCCTGTATCATAATGATGCCACAGTATTTCTAGCACCGTGATCCCTAACCCAGTTCTCTCATTTAGCATATTGAGACAGCATGAATATGATCTCATTAAAAGAGCTCCAGCCACCCACGTTACATTAATACTGCCAGTTACTGAGAACTTATGTTTTCAATAAAGTGCTTTTCAAAACTTTGGGGGGTTTGCTTTGTGTCATTTTTCAGGCGCATTTCCCGCTCTGTGGAAGTTTATTAGCCCCCTTTTCCCAGGATCAGATTTTGTTACTAGAACAGTCTTGCAAGGTGTTGCATGACCTCAGCTCCCATCAGGCCCTTTGTCCTCTATAAAATGTGTCCAATTTGGAGTTCTAAAGCCCTCAGTTTTCTTTCCAAAGTGCAACATAGAGTTCTTTGACAAGACATGTACAGACTGGTACAATATATTATTCCTATATAGGGGTGGTTTTCAACCTGTGGTCTGCAGACCTCTTGGGGGGGCCACAAACTGTGTCTAAGGGGGGGGTCTGTGAAAGGTGGTTGTTACCACAGAACAGCAGTTTTCAACTTTTGGTCCATGGACCCTTGGGGGGCTGCAGAGTATATCTAACATTTCCCAATGGGTCTGCATCTCCATTAGAAAATTTTTAAGGGTCCACAAATGAATAAAAGGTTGAAAAATCACTGCTATACAGTCTCCCTTGGACAGCTTCTTCATACATTTAATTAAAGCATCCTGACTTTTCAGTAGTGTTTGCCCTGCACGGGACACAGCCAGTTAGCACACATCGTTTCCTTAATTTTCTGTGACTTCCTTCAAGTAAAGCCGGATGCTTTTCAGTTGATCACAACCTTCAGGAGATTAATTGGAATAGAAAAGCCCCTGCCAGCGTAATTTGACATTCCTTCAAATAAGGACCTGAGTCAGCTGTGGGAATACTCTGATGAGCTAACTTGTGGGCACTGCAGTGGCAATTTGTTTGCATGACATTTGCCCTTGAATGTCAAGTAACATCCTCTACATTGGTCATTCCTTTAACTCCATCACTCCTAAGGCTATAACTAATGACATATCAAACCAAATTAATTCCTTTTGTAAATGGGTGCTACATCATATAAGCAAATGGTCTTGCACCCACTTACAGTATATGGCCAGTTACATTTTTATGAATGAAGAACTCCTATTAAGCTTCAGCAACAGCTTAATCTGTTCCAGGGAGAGGGTCATAGGCCTTGTCTACGCTAACGAGGTAAGTCGATCTAAGTTATGCTAGTAAAGTTATGTAAGATACGTAACTTAGACGACATAGCTTAGACAGACTTACAGCGGTGTCCACACCACACCATGGGAGATGCTCTCCCATCATGATGCCTGTCGCGTCTTCACCAGACCCACTAAATCTATGCCTGCTGCATCGATCGCAGCAGCACCAATATAGCCCACAGTGAAGACAAGCCCATAGAAATAAGAGATGGAAATGACTATTAGTTCATCTGATCTAATGCAAGATTGTTCCCCAAACTACCTTTGTAGAATCAGGGGAAATAAAGGTGATTTCAACACTCCTCTCTGGGACGTATTTTTAAACTTGAACTCAACCTAAACTCTAAGTTTGTACTCTCAAATTTTGGGGCACACAATTTTGTACACATTTTTGTAAAACTTGGATCTGCATACAGAGACTGGGTCATTTCAAACCACATCTCAGCTTTGTCACATGCATAAAACTAATGAAGACTTGAACTAAATGCCAGTGGGTCAATCTGCTGCTCTGCACAAACGGAAAGTTTACTTTATTTCCCTATACCTATGATTTCACCTGCAAGAATGTTAATGACAGGATTCATTAGCCAAAGACTCCAGCATATTATCCATAGACAGAAGAGCACCATGGAAAGCCAGCGCCATGCAATTTAACATTAGGCACTTTACTTCAGAAAGAACCTCCATTACATTTTCACTATTGTGCATGGGAATTTTGTCCTTTAGCAGCCCAATAAATAGTTTGGCGAGCAACAACGATGGCAC